AGAGCCCTAAAAGAAGCTTCCTATTAACTTCTATGCCTGCTGTCTATAAACATACTGGGATCCCGAAGGAATAGTCTTCCTACCAATAGAAACCAGAAAGTTGGAACATCATTAGCCTGATGCCCTTACATGTAAATAGAAAGGGTAATCCCAGCACTAATCATCCTTCATTCATGTTCCAGCTTTCTGGGGTTCCCTAAGGCCTGCTGCGACTCTGGGTAGGGAACCTAAACCAACCCCTAAACCCCAAACCCCTAAACCCTAAAGCCCTAAACCTTAAAGCCCTTACCCTAAAACCCTAAACCCTAGCCGTTAGGAGGAGACCCACCTCGAATTGAAACTTGCCGAAGCTAAGCGCGTTCTTCGACCTCGCCGGTATTCTCTCGCTTTGGGTTGAATACTACGTCATCAGAATATGGTTTTTGAGTTTTAAGGGGTGTAGTAGGGTATAGCTATAATCGGGAACCCTATATGCCGAAGGCTATGAAGCTTTTTGGACATCCTTCGGGTGCGTTGGGTGAACTATCCAGGGTTTCAGCTTATAGGTTTCGGCGCCCACACTCGGACAATCCGGCGAGGCATATGGTTCGAGGGCTGCAAAGAAGCGAAACAACTTCACATGCGCTGAACCACAAACACGAACCCTCATCGAAGAGAACGTGCAAGTTGACGGATTCCGCATGTCTGCACCAAAGTCCACGCTGGTACGTTAACTAGTTGATGGACTTCAGTGACTAGACCGAGGAGGCTAAAATAGGGTACAGGTATACGGTAGTGGCATGAGAGCCATAACGGGTTTACTGATGAGCCGGGACAGCTCAGGAATAGCTGCAGTCTCCTCTAAGTCATCTCGACTTTGGTGACACCAACTTCGTGATCAGCCCCTACATAAAGACAGCCAATAGGTTTAGGGTTTAGGGTATTATAGGTTTCCGAAATTCACGAACCGTTGCTAGTCTCAGATTCTCAACGCGTCCGGAACGCCGTTGGCACAAGGTCGGTGAGCTCCATGTCTCCGATAGGCCATCACATATTCCCGACACTCTGAAACTTCGGTAATTAGCCATGATGTCGCAGGAGGGGTGATCAACTTCGACCGCCCTACATTCCAAAATTACTCTTTCGCGCTTTGGGCTGTTGGCGTGATGCAAAAAAACTCTTTTGGACTGCTACCTTCCCGATAGGCGTTGTGTGCCGGAACCTCCCGGCGTTGCTGCATTCTTGCACATCCAGTTCCTGCGATCGCAACTTGCGGCTTAGTATAGACCCGCGCAGAGCCCGGACGGACCAGCCAACCTCCGTGTTGCAAAATCCTGCAGAGGCTTCATCTCAAGAACCTGGTGTTCTTAAAACTCAAACTCTTAAAGCCAGGAGTCTACCACCTGGGACGCGCACTGCATAGTGTCCTCCAGCATGTAAACCACGTGTGGGATGTCGGCCCTTAGTAGCAATCACATGCGAGGAAAGGTTTGGGCACAGGGATGCACAGGGCCTGTAGGGGATCGAGGTGCTGCATCAAGAATAGACTAATGTAGTGGCCGCAATAATTAGAATAGGGTTTTGGGGCCCATTATACTATATTCATAATAAGGACCCCCCCAAAATACTATAGGCAATTATTAAGGCCCCTATATTAGACTACTTATTCGACAAGTCATGTGCTTGCGCATGTCGAAACACAGGCATACATCGGCATGTGCAGTCATGATAGCAGACGCTGTTCTGCTTGGTGTGGTGCCTTCATATCACTACAGGCTCGTGTTCCCAGCTGGCCCCTCGTCGACTCTTGGTAATGCCCCTTGCCAATTTAAAAATGGCTGCTTTGTCAAAAGGGGCCTGTTCGCAGCCCATCGTCGAGACGACTGCTAGACTTGTAGACTCGACTTCCCCTAGCGGTTGCTGGAGGATTTAAGGAAACGAAAGCATGACCTGAGAGGCCTACTGCAAAGATTCTGGCAAAGAAGCTGCAGATCTGATGTCCCCAGACTAAAATCTAGGGCATCGTATATTCTGATCTGGGCTGTGGGGTTCTTGAGTTTTGAGGCTCTCTGACAGCTCTTTTTGAACAATTAATCCTAAACCCGACACCCTAAGCTTTGTCATGGCGTCTTCCTGCACGTTTCACACAGCTGTGTAAAGTTCTTTGGCTTGCTGCTGGAGTTTAGGCTTTAGGGTTCTAGGGTCTGGGTTTTAGTGTTTTAGGGTTTGGCTTGCTTGTGGGGCTTTGGCCTTGGGAGACTTTGGGGCCATGGGGAAAAACCTTGCGGCTGCTGAAAGAAGGCTTTAAAGACTAGCAGAAGGAGAGCTTTCAGAGTCTCTTAGAAAGTTCTGCAGATGAGCTTCGGCAAGGATGTCTACACAACCATTCTGGTTCCTGCTTTTGGTGGTCTTTCTCCCAGCGAGGCTCCGAAATGCAAACACAGACCCCCCCGGCCGCAGCCTGGAGACTTTTGCACTGACAAGGAGTAGATCACACCATGGCCGAATCCGATTCTTTCAGAGCGACCGGGCTGAAGCCCGCAAAGTGCAAGTCTCCTTATAAGTCACTAAGTTGTCCTTTAAGCCCTTTGAACATCATTTACTATTATGGTTCTCTACAAAATAGTAAGGGAAATTAAAAAGGATCCCAAAAGACAACCCAGGTCATGGCTCGGGAAAAATCTGTGGCTCCTGCTCCGTGGCATGAGTGCAGAGGTCCCAGGTCCTCCGCGGAACGGCGGCTTAGGAAAAAGAAGGCTAGCCGGACGCTTTCTCCCAGGACGCCGGAAGCCTATGATGTTTTCATTGTTGGCCTAGAGCCTTCCTCTGAAATCTCAGCACATCTGTTTAATCTCAAACTCCGAGAGGGGCACTCTAAATCCTCGCCGTGGACAGAAGATGCGATCAAAATACCGCTGCACTCTGAGGCCCGTGCCAAAGCTCTTCGCGGTTTCCCTGTCCAGGACCTCTTTATGTAGTCAGTAGTCAATGTAGTCATTTTCGCTTGTAGCGAGTCTTCAAGGGTTGAGTTGGGTCTCTCCAACCTCCCCTGTTCTCAGACTGAACATCCTTGAGACCCTACTCTGCCCATATATACAGGCCTTAATAATTAGAATAAATTTTTGGGGTATAGTATATCACAGTTAAAACTATAACAAGGACCCCCCCCAAATCGTATAGGTAACTATTAAGGCCCATATATTGCACCACCTGGCATTGGTGACCACAGGCGAGCGCCACCGATGCCGTTGAAAGGTCGCGCCTCAGCTGCAGGGCGTGCAACCTTGAAAAATGCTAGTGTCAAGGCTTCTCGAACTTGTATAACTGTAGAAAATTCCCTAACCCTCCCGGTACCTGCTATATAATATAGGGCCCTAGGGGCTCTAGTACCCTATAATTGTAGGCACCTGCAGGGTTAGGGCCATACCGCGGCATAGCTTGGCGTCGGCTCTCGCAGCAACATATCCTCCGAATTCCGAACTCATGACAGTAGAGGCCCCAAGGAGCCAGTTACAGTACCCTCAAGTGAAGGCCCCGAGGGCTTCCCATGGCGAAACCAGACACGGCAGTCACTGGGATGGAAATTCAAGTCAGCGCGAAAGGACTTAAGGCAGCATCAGTGTGCTCATAAAGGGCACGGACAATGGAGCAAACAGACTTGAATGCCGGGCCGGGAGTTAGCAATGCAGCCTGAGTTGTTCCTTAAACCCGTCCCTGCGCCAAGAGGAAGTCCCTGTGCCAAGAGGAAGGGTTTAGGGGTTACGGGCTAGGGGAATACTGTGTTTCGCACTGCTAGCTTTGACTTCAGGGGCATGCGGTGGAATCCTGCTAGACTCTTGAAGCTTGAATCCACAAGTTCAGCGGCGCAGGGCCTGTTTTCATAAAGTTTGGGGTTCGTAGGGTTCCGACAAGACCAGACGCAAAGTGAAGGGCACAATGTCTTTTTTCATCTACGCTCGCCGGAGATGCAGCACAAGAGGCCACTGAATGAGCTGGGGTGCCTCCTGTTCTATGGTGATACACATGGAAACTTGATCTACCCCCGCAACTGAGCAATCTCCCGATATTGTGCATCCGAAACCCTGGAAACTATTGAGACCGAAGTGTGCGTGAGAAGGTGAAGCAGGCTGCTGATCGTAATTGGCGTGGGAGGTACGCGCTACTACTGCCTGTACTCTTTTGTAGCAAGGGTCCAGGTGGTAACATGCTGGTGACAGCAATGGCAGCATGATGCAATATTTCCACGACCTACGCTGGACCCTCATGCCAACCCATACACGGATTGCTAACGCATACCGCCTGATAGTAACCCGCGCGAGTAGTAGCAGTAGTCGTCGTCGTGGTGGTGGTGGTGGTGGTGCTGGTGCTGGTGGTGCTGGTGCTGGTGCTGGTGGTGCTGGTGCTGGTGCTGGTGCTGGTGGTTTGGTGGTGGTGGTCGTGGTCGTGGCCGTAGTCGTAGTCGTAGTCGCACTAGCAGTAGCAGCACAAGTAGCAGTAGCAGCAGCAGTAGCGGTAGCGGTAGCGGTAACGGTAGCAGTAGGAGTAGTAGTAGTAGTAGTAGTAGTACGTAGTAGTAGTAGTAGTAGTAGTAGTAGTAGTAGCAGTAGTAGTAGTAGCAGTTATTATTAATATTATAGTAAAAAAGCCCAATTGTTTCGAGATGTTGCGAGCTTAGGGTCCATGGCATCGACTGCTACGAAGGGTCAGGTTTAGACGTAGCACTCCGATTTTACATGGCGCGTCTTATATGATGCCAAGCGAAGCTTTTCGGTTTAGCATCTCGTGCTCCCAGCTCATCTGGCACCTTCTGCTACAAGCATTGTGGGCATCAGGGCAACCAATCTTCACATGCAAGACCACCAGTAAGGATTATGAGTGGACTTGTCGCTTCATTGCTTTGCAGTATCTAAGGTACCGTACGGAAGGTACCGGTACACGTGAAGATTTGGGGAGATGCTGCGCCGGAGGCCCAGACCTGAGCATTAAAAGACCTGCAGGGTTCAAGCGGAATCTGCAAGCGGTCATTTCGCGCAGCAGCCGCAGAGTCGTTTGAGTCCGTCGAGGCCTGAGCTCGAACTTCCGCCCCCACGGGTTGGTGCGGCTTTCGAGGCCTTTTTAGGGTTCCTTAAAGGGATCTATAAGGGATTCTATACGGGTTTCTATCGGGGTCTATAAGGGTCTCGGAGCTTTCCGATTTCGGGGTGCTTACTTCAGGGTTGAAGGTTTAGGATGGTACAGTTACGGGCCTCTGGGTTTTAGGGTTTACACAGGGCTTCGAACTGCAAAAACCCACGAAGCAAATGCTGATAACATATGATTGCGGGATTCAGGGCTTAGGGTTTTAGTGTAAATCTGTAAACCCTGTACGAACATTGGAAACCTCAGCTTGCCATACATGTCTGGAGCATTCATCTGCAAATTTATCCATATGGCACTCCGCATGCACCCCGAGACTGCAGTCACGAGGCAGCTGCATCGTGGGATTTTGGAATTGAAGAGACCAAGCTTTTCCTGTGCTTGTGGCAGTAGAGCTTGCGGAATATAGGGCTAAGCTACGATACATTTACTTGTTGTTAGGAATTGGGGCGCAGGGCTCCCTCTTCGGATTCTGGGATGTATGGTTTCGACTTTCGATTTTACTATGGGCGGCACGTACCAACTGCGCATGTAACCCGCGCACCGACACACCTGCCCGTGGGATCGTTCACACAAGTGTACCCAGAAGCCAGGTCATGTCTCCTCCCCACCTATCTACCTACCTACTGCCTGCTTGTGCCCCTGCTTGCCTAGCTGCCTACCCACTGCCTGCCAGCCTGCCTAACTGCCTGCCCACTGCTACCTGGTCCTGCCACCTACCACCTACCGACCTACCGACATACTGACATACACACAGAAACATGACATGTTGTGTGCCCTGGCGGCTTTAGCAGCAGAAATCACAGTCATAATCATAAAGAATGCATTTAGCACTCAAGGCACTAGCCCATCAACACAGCCGCTTTTCCTGGTGACATGCTCCCTGGCGACAAGCCACCTTCGGGGTAAGGCCCTGCTGGTGATCTGAGATCGTTCGCAGGAGCTCGCGCCTGGCCACCACGAAACTCTCTCTCCCTCTCTGTCTGTGTGTGTGCGTGTCTGTCTGCCTGTCTGTCCGTCTGTCTGTCTCTGTCCGTCTCTCTCTCTGTGTCTCTCTCTGTGTCTCTGTCACTGTTTGTGTCTCTGTGGCTCTCTGATTTTATTTCGCTGTAGATGTTATCGTCCTGAGGAAGGGCGAAATGGCGGGTCGAGATCTGAACCACGAGGAGGCGTACGAAAGGGACGAAAGTCGACGAGAATGAGAAACATGAAGACTTTCGCACATGATAAGTCAGTCACGGGACCTGCAGTTTCTGGGAACTTGCCTTAAACAGGACCTGCAATCCCCTAACTAATATCCGGGCCTCAATACTTATGGGATAAGGTTTTTGGGTTACCTTATGTTGTGTTTATAACCCTAAGGCCCTAAGGATACTTAATGACAGTACTGGAAACTAGTTCCTATAGTAACAAGGTAACACCCTACACCCTAAACCCTACACCCAAAACCCTACACCCTAAACCCTCAATAGTAACTACACCTGCAGGGTTTAGTCTGGCGGTTTGAGCCTTCGGCACTTAAGGGCTTCAGGGCTTACCTTGTACCCCCAAGAACCTGCATTTGTAAGGACTTACATGAGTAGGCCTCTAAATTAGGATCCCTGTTAGGGTCCTTTTTGTAACGGTGCCGTATTATTCTGGAGATTTACAAGGGGACCGTAATTTAGAGAACTACCCCTTTCAGGAAATCATATTCAGGAACCCTACCAAGGTAGGCTTCTTGGTCCCGGAGGGTAGGGGGCCCGTCAGAAGCCTGACAGCTCCACGAAGGTTCAGCCGAATCATCGTAACATGGAGGTCTAAATGCTATAAGTAAAGCTCTTCCCTTTTCGTCCCTACGTAAACGTAGCATAATCTACAGCAAACCCTCTTCCTAACTACTCAAACCTCCAGTTAAGCACCCTCGGAAGCATAAGACAAACGGTACTTTTAATAACCCCTTGGAGTTTCAGCAAATCAAGAATAATGAATAGTTCCACAGTGCCAAAGAGCACTAAGGCCTTTTTGCATCAGGACTTGTGCACTCGCCTGAATGTCTGAGCCTACAGAAGTTCAGCTCTCATGACTGCACTAAACCCTAAACCCTTAGACCCTAAACCCTTAACCCTGTATAGTATAGTAACCCTGAAGCCCCCGGGCAGAGAGCACAGGCTCTCACCTCGTGGTCTGGTCCATGTACTCCGGGTGAGTAACGATGACCTGAAGGATTTGGGCTTGAACCAGGGCTTAGGGTTTAGGGTTTAGGGCTTGTAGGGTTTGGGCTTAGGGCTCGTGGTTGAGGTTTTGTTGCTACTGTGGTTTGGGGTTTAGGGCTAAAAGTATAAGATGATTTCCCAGCCAGAAAACAATCCATACTTGGTCACCCACTTAGAGGTTCATGTGTAGTTATAAGTGGGGTTATAAGTCCCCTAATATGGGTTAAACTTACAGTTGCCCTAGTCACCAACCCCTAAACCCTCCCGAAAACAAGCAAAAACACAAAAGCAGACAGCCTGCCAGTCGAAAGCCTCTCAGGTCCATGGTCTAGACACCCTTTTGGCTATGCACCTGAAGGTTTAGGGTTTAGGGTTTAGGGCATACCTTGCTTAAGACTCTTCTTCCTACTACGAGCACCAGGTGTGTAAAAACGTATATCACAACAATCAGAAAGGTACCACGGATTAAGGGTGCCGCTGAGTAGACGAACCTCACCGCTCCAGGTACGCCCTGTTGCCAGCCGCGCAACCGCCCCAATCCGATGAAATAGGGTTTTGGGTGTATGGGGTTTAGGGTGTTTTCCTGTCCCCCGAACTCGAAAAACCGCAAAAGCCCGTCGCAGAGCTTTGTTCGCATGTGGCAACACCAAAACCCTAAAGCTCAAAAAATTGAACTCGAACCATTGGAATCCAAAACCCACGACCCATAACCTTAAGACCCAATCCCACAATCCCAAGGCTCAAACCCCAAAGCCCTGAACCCTCTCCCCAAAACACTAAAGCGCTCTAAACATCTCTAAACCCAGAGGCTGTGGGCTCGCAGGTAGGCGCCGGAGTCGTGGGCACAGACTTGGGCGATTCCACGCGCTTGGGCGATTCCACGCGCTTGGGCGAGTCCACGCTCTTGGGCGAGTCCATGCTCTTGGGCGAGTCCGCGCGCTGCTCGGGTCGAGGTTCCTGGATGAGGTCGACTGAGTTGATTAGGGCTTCTGGGTCTGTTCATCGGAATTGGGCAGGGTTTGTTTTGGGTTGATATTTGGTGGCAGAGGGATGTTTGAGAGTCTTGTGTTTGTTGGTTCGGCGCTCACACTCGGACGTTTGGGGTGTGTGGCTTATGTCTTCGTAAGGATCTGCAGACCTGCTATGATCAAGGCCTATCAATACCGGTTACAAGGTGCGGGAAAGGGTAGCCGAGGGTCAAAAGGCTGCGGGCTGTGCGCAGAAGTTTTGAAGCTCGTCGAAAGCCTGAAGAGCAAGAGCAAGTATGGGAGCCTTGCAGAATGCTGACCGCCAACTTAAGTGACCGTACTTTGCTGCCGGTGTATAGTGTGTGTTGTTTGAAGAAGGTCAAACCCCAAGCAAAGCCCGACGAAATCCTCGCTAGCAACCCAAGTCCAGACGCCCTCCCAAACCCCACCCGTCCCTCACTCCACCCCAAAGAAGCAGAAGCCTTGATCTAAGTACAGGACCTGGCAACCCTAGCTCCAAGCCGCTCTAAACCTTGGGCTTTCATCCGAAAACGGAAGGTTCAAGTTCCATAGATCCCCAAAGCTCTTTGGCACCAGTAACGAGGACCCCCGGAGTTCTGAAAGGCGAGCCCTGAACCTTGTAGCCTGCTCTGAAATAACGGCTGGCGGAGATTCAAGGGCCAAGCAGATGCTCGGAACCCAGCCGTGCTTGCCTTTGCACCGTGCTACTGCCGCGGCCGGGGGGGGGGGGGCTATTATAATTATAGCATCGTATACCCCAAGACTCTGTTGTATTTAGTTATTAAGGCCCCTACATTACCAATACCACTCTTGAGGCATTCGTGTTCCTTCATACAAAAGTATACTGTAAATGTACCCCCCACCCCACAAACCAATATTTTCCAGTGAGGCCTGCAACAACGAAGACCCCCTGTCTTGATGCCTTCATTGCCCTGAAACTCCAAGAAAGGCTTTAATTTCGAAGCTTTCCGAACACATGAACAAGCTAATGAAAACACACATGTAGCTACGTGCATATATATATATATATATGTCTATGTATGTCTATATGTATATACATATGTGTGTATACGCGCACATGTGTACAAGGTCGTTACATGTCTATATGTTCAAAGTAAGTATGTGTGCATGCAGGCATGCATGCATGCATGCATGTATGTATGTAGGCAAATGTAAATGTAAATATAAATGTCTATGTATATATGCATATATGTATATATGTATATATGTATATATGCATATATGTATATATGTATATGTATATGTGTATGTATATATATATATATATATGTATATGTATATGTATATATGTATATGTCTATANNATATATGTATATATATATATGGTTGCGCCATGTGCCTGTGTATGTCTGACCGGGTGTATACACATACATGTGCCTCTGTATATGTATGGCCCGGTCTGGACCATTTATACTACGAAGTCATACGATGTTTGCTTGAAGACCATACTGAGTCAAGTATTGCC